TTGCAATCAGGTGCCGCGTGTGAGTCTTCAGCAAGAGGGTTCTCAGCAGGTTGGTAGCCCTAGGACTGCAGCTAGGATCGGGGGAGCATGTCCATAGACTAGCCTCGGTTGGAGTTGCACGGGGTAGAGATGGAGTCGCCTATAGTCGGAATCTGCTAGATGAGAAGAAAGTTGAGGTGTCCACAGCTGTGAGTCGAAAAACCACAGTTAGCGACGAGTTTCCTAGCTACTGTCCTCGAGCGGTGGCCCTGAAGTGCTTGAGTCTAGAGCTTGAAAGGCTCCAGAAGCTTTTGGATGCTGAGGATCAGAGCCAGCCTGAAAGCAATGGCCTTGATGAGGATTCCACTCAAGAAAGCAGCATTGAGGATTGGGGTTGCTTTCAGGTTCCGTGGCAAATGTGCGGGTTGCAACCGTGCTCAGGAACAGTCCTCAAGGATTTGGAAAGCATAGAGTTGTGTGGTGTTGGGTGGTCCATGAAGGCTGATGTCTCAAGCACTTTGAATGAAGTGGCGATACAGCATCAGAAGGTTTGTGCCCTCCTTCAAGCTGCCGAAGAGGAGTGTGGGGAACAGGCTAATGCAACTGTTGACAGTCTCTACTGGAGTACTCTAGATGCACTGGAGCATCAGGGGTGCGAGCTACAGAAGTATGAGAGTCAGCTGTTGAGTTCCGCAGAGCCAGTTGTCTTGAGGAGCTTATCGGTTGTTGACTCAGGAGAGCCTGGGCTTGACAAGGACTCCAGTGGCATAGAAAGTCTGGGTCATGGAGGAGTGGACTCCTCCGATCCTCCACCTCTTCAAACCAAAATTATTGCAGCTGATCAAGTGCGCAGAGAGCCAGAAAAGTGGGTTCCTTCGATGACAGAAGAGTACCAGTCTCTAGTGTCGCGGACTGGTGCTGTAGAAGAGCTTTCGGACAGTCAATACAGGCAGCTGTTGGAAGACCCAGGGGTCACGCTGGAAATTATTCCGGGTAAGCTAGTATACGTCCACAAGTCGTCAGGACGGCGAAAATCCAGGATCGTTGGTTGCGGCAATTTTTGCCAAGGCGGAAGTAGCGAACGCAACGAGCTCTATGCGAGCGGAGCAGGGGCCGAATCCTTGCGGCTGATGATTCGTAGATGTGCCCTTCAGCAGAAGTGGGCGCTCGCATCTGTAGATGTGCGAACGGCTTTCCTACAAGCACCGTTGCTTGAGCAGCAAAGAGATGGCCGGCGTTTGGTTACCGTGGTGAGAGTTCCTTCGATACTGCGAGAGACAGGCGTGACTGCTTGTAAGTTTTGGAAAGTTCGCAAAGCCCTTTACGGCCTAGCTTCTGCTCCAAAGTCCTGGTCCAACTATAGAGACAAGGTCATTGCCGAGCTTGAGATTCCTTGCGAAGGCAGTGTGCTTCGGTTATCTAAAATGCTGGAAGACGCGAACCTGCTTCACATCATCAGGCTCTCTGGCGATGGAAAGAGCGTTAACTTGGGTGAAGGAGAACGAGTTGGTCTTGTTGCTCTATATGTTGACGATATCCTGATTGGAGCAGAGCGGTCAGTTTGTGAAGCGGTGATTAAGGCGCTGCAGGAACAGTGGGAGCTGTCTCCTCCTGAGTGGATTGCTGAAACGGGAGATCAAATGAAGTTTGCGGGCTATGAGCTTCAGAAAACTTCGGAAGGCATCCGCCTGCACCAAGAGAGTTATGTCCAAGACTTGCTTGAGCAGAACGAGGAGACTGTTACTGGGATTGAACGAACTCCAGCTGTTAAGATGAGCAGTTTTGATGACCCGGTGGATGAAGCTGAAAGGCGTGAGCTCACAAAGAGGTCACAGTGTTTGATTGGTCAGCTTTTGTGGGTGGCTGGACGAACAAGACCTGACCTGTCTTATGGGGTTAGCATGGCGGCCCAGAAGATTGTCTCCAGTCCACGGGAGGCGTTGGCACGGGCAGAGCACCTGGTAAGGTATTTGAGAGGTTCACCGGGCGTCAGTCTTCACTACAAGGCGGCGGATGGAAGCTGTGGAAAGTGGAACCAGCTACGACATCAGCAGACAGGTCATACGTTAGATGTTTATACGGATGCATCGTTTGCAGCAGATGAGCAGTGTAGGAGCTTTGGCTCGGTGCAGCTGTACTGGGGAGGAGCGTTGGTATCCTGGAGTGCAGCTCGTCAAACTCTCATGGCTGCGCATACTGCAGAATGTGAGTTGTATTCTCTGTCAGAGGGACATTTGATGGGGAAGGCATTTCTGCCAACGGTCGCTGCTCTCATGAACACGGAGGTACAAAGTGTGCAGTGCCATCTGTACTGTGACAACATGGCTGCAGTGCAGCTATGCACATTGGAAGCGGGATCGTGGCGCACACGCCATCTTCGTTTGAGAGGAGCTATAATCAGACAGGACTTGGATAAAGAAGAATGGACCTTGGCCCACATAGACGGGGTCTTTATGCCTGCTGACCTCGGCACGAAACCTGTTGGACCAGCGAGGCTTGAAGACTTGCTGAGGCTGTGTGACTTGTGGACGCCACATTTAGAGCCAAATGACAATCCACCACGACCGAGTGTAGCCATGGTTCAGTCAAGTCCATCAGGTTTTACCTCTACGCTGCTTGCACTACTTATGCTTGTGCAGGTTAGTGGAGCCAGAGCTCAGGAGTACACCCTAGACCATTCCATGTGGGAAACATTCGGTTTTGGGTTTGGATTGGGTTTCGGCTTGGGTTGTGGTCTCTGGGCGGCAAACAAGTTTGGACGATGTCTGGATGTGGGTCTGGAGGAACTTCGAAGGATAGTCAGAACTTCTAGGGTTGGTTTCGGGTTTGCCCGCGGGGCAGACAGTTGCAGCCTGAAGAGCCCGAAGCCTCTGGAAGTCAGGCTCAGATGGTGAATGAGGCCGCGGGGGTCTTAATTCCTCTGAACAATGGGACACTGGTTCCTCTCGAGGAAGCTACCTATGATGACATTCGGGATGCGTACTACGCTGATCTTCGTAATGCGTTTGTGCAAGCAGGGGAAACCGAGGATATGCCTGAGGTTCTACGTGAGAATGTTGAGCTTCGGAGGCTTCGTGAGGGCCTGGGTTCTCCTCGTGCACCTACTGTTGCGCGCCCGCCAGGGTATCCAGAAGTTGAGGATGACAGGTTGGTGGTTAGGCTTGAACAACCGGTGTACCAGGTAGGACCGGCTGGTGATGTCTTTGAAGGTCAGAGTAGTGACGATGAATCAGAGGAGTCATCGCCTACTGCAGGAAGTACTGCTTCCGGGGGAGCTAGGCAGCTGCCGGAAACTGGGAGTGATGCAACTAGTCGCTCTAGGGGTGACTCTGCAGCAAGTTATCAGGGTTCGGCCTCCAGAATTGCAAGCTTGGGTGTTGCCTTGATTCCTCATGCGCAAGGTGCAACAGCTGCTGAAGAGATGAGTTCAGAGGGAAGCTGGGAGTTGTGGATTATTCTAGGGTTGATTGTGGTTGTGAGTATTGGTGTTGGCGTACTAGGAGCATGGTGCGTTGGAAGGTGCATTAGCCGTAGTTTGGTTGTTCCGTTGAACCAGAAGCCAGTGGACTCCATCGACTTGCGGGCCGAACTCAACTTCCTGCTCGCCTCCAGTCCTACGAGGAACTAAACCCTTAGGGCCTAGGGTTCGGGTATCGGCAGAGCTTGGGCCTTCACTCACAGGCTCCTGCGGCGCACGGGGCCTATGAGGACCTAAACCACTATAATTTAGGGTTCGGGCACTGGCTTCGTCTTGCCTTCCAGTCACGGGCACTTGCAAATCACGGAACCTAGAAGGACCTACACCCCTATTGCCTAGGGTTCGGGCGTTGGCATTATCTGATTCAATCTCCACCGGTTCATGTGCCGCACATGGCCTGTTCGAACCTAAGCCTCTTGAATCTGGTATACCAGACTCATCGGACCCTCTCCTACGTCTTAGGGCGCTCCCAGGGCCTAAACCTCTAGAACCCGGAGTCTGGGGTCCTGAAGTACTGGCAAGTGGTCCCTGTCCACTGACAGCTTCGGTCACTTGGACATCCACACCTTTTGATGCCCTTTCTTCAAATACCCCTCCCGTGACAGTGATGTTGATAACAGGAGATAAATGCTGCGGCCTACTTGGAGCTCGATTCACAGGTGTTCTCACTTGGTCACCAGCCACATCCACATTATCTGAGTGATGGTGCCGATCGGGTCGTGTACTTGACTAGATCAGGGCACTACGTACATGCCTCAGACCAGTGCGAATGTCTGGATCCATGCGAGGAGCTGCAGTCCAGAAAGCTATGTCAGTGTTGCAAATGGAAGTAAGGCGGCTTCAGCACACTTGGTGATGAATGGATGGCCTCCATTGGGGGAGTGAGAGTGTGCGAAGCGGTGAAGCAGCATGTCTGTGTGGTTGGCAGATGTATGTGCGTACGTCCAGTGGCCATGGAGGCTGAAGGGTCCCGGGGTGCGAGGGTCGTAAACCCGTATGTCCCCATGTGGCCTAGCTTTTCTCACACCAGAAGCATAGCAGCATGTGCAGTCTACTAATCTGGCAGGAGTTTGTACAGCCCAGGTAGATGCAAGATGATTTCGTTGTGCTGCTTGTGGTAAAAGGTGGGATAAGACCTTGTGCGCGCTCGTTACCTGCTCCTTCTTTTGAAGGACAGGTTATGAGCCCAAGTTCAAGGCTCCCTGCGTGAATTCCGTTGTGCCATGGAGTCCGGTTTGGAGCCTGACTACGCCCGTGACGGCCGTGAAGATGGCTCTGGAAGCGATAGACTCCTGGAAAGTAACAGTGCTGCTACTGCAAGGAGGCCAGTTCGGAACGAGACGTTTGAACCAGAGGCCCAGGAGAATGCAGAAAGACAGCACGAGGAGCAGGAAGCAGCTGATTTGCTGGCTCGGGCAGAGGATTTAGAGCCGGAGTATGACTTCGAGTCTGCTGAAGGCGGTGGGGCCTCACCTGGTCAGGAAGATCAGTTGCTTGGTGATAATCAAGATGGTGCTGCCGTTTTGAGTCGGCAACAAGGACTGGATGGTTCAGACAGTCGACCAGATAGGCAGGCAGTGCCTAGGGTATTCGGTCAGCAAGCTGTGCCTCAAGCTTTGAGGCAGACAACCTCCGGTCGTCAGACTGGCTCCGGAGGTCTGCTTCAGGACGAGGCGGCAGGAGCTGTTAATGGAACTACTGGATTGGGAAAAGGATCTGGTGCCACTCCATCGTTAGCTGGCTGGGAGGAAGCTGGTTTCACAATGCAGGCCTCGACGAGGCCTCCTGGAGATACCTCAAGCTGGGGTATCTATGGAGGCAGGATCTCAGAGGAAGCAAGAATGGAGACACTGGAAACCTTAGTCCAGCAGTTACTGGAGCAGAACGAGCGCCTGAAAAGGGAAGCACGTGACAACATGTCCCGAAGCTCTTGTGAGTCTGAGAGGGATAGAGTAGTCGGTGTACAGGATGGAAGTAGCCGTAGAAGTGAGCGTAGGGAAGCTGCCGAAGGCAGAGGTGCTAGGCCACCAGGGGAGGTTAGAGTGAAGTCTGGAAAGGGTGTAGGTTCTGAGGATGGTTGGGCCCCCACTCTTAGGATATTTCAGCCTCCATGGACCACCTTTGGTCATGCAGAAGATGCGTCTTCGACAGCTTTGCCAGCGATGGGCCCTGGAGACAGGTTTCTTGCTGCTACCAGAGCGATGCAACAGTTGCACTTAGATGATGCCCGCGGTGATGCTAATGATGATGTGGTGATGGAACACCTGGGTGAACTTCCTTGGCCGGTGCCCGCATCTACGAGCATAGTGGGTTTGCCTCAGTTCAACGTTGCACAGGATCCTTCGCGCGTAACGGCTACTCAGGCTTCCAACGTTGAAAGTAGCGTTGTATCTGGGCGAGTCGACCCGCCGGCAGGTCCTCCCTTAGCAGTGCAAGGTGACACAGCTTCTACGGTTACGGTTATGATTAATGGGGTTCCTAGGAAGGGTGTGTTCAATGCTGCTGGGGAAGTGATTATCCAGTCGGAGTCCCCAAAGTACTTTGCCTTGGGAGATCAAGTTAGGTTGGAAAGGGAAGTTGAGGAGCATGCCTCTGGGAATCCCTTCATGGCGCAAGCATCAACGCCCTTCAGGTCGGCACCACAGCACAGGCAGAGGTCCCCGAGTGTTCCTCCGCCTCCGCCGCCTCCACCAGTCCCTTGTGGAGGTAGGGGTTCTAGGACTGATAATAGGTCTCCGAGTGGGTCTAGGATTGGGTACCCTAGGAAGCCGAGCCGATCCCCTAACCCTAGCCCACCTCGTGCACCTGTTCAGGCAAGCTATCAGGTGAACGCGTCCCCAGCTACACCGGGAGGTACTAAGGTTCCAAGAGCACCTCCACCCGTGAGCCCCCCTGCGCCTGAGGTAAGGCCTGTTACTCCCGAGGGTTATCAGTCTCTTGAGGAAGGGGATGCCAAGGACTTCAGACCTGGGGAGAGAACGCTTTGGGAGTTGCCTGCGTTAGGGCCAGTCGCAGATCCCAACCCAGCTATGCGGTTTAGTGACTGGGTTCATCGAGTGACGCCGTTTTTCAACGACTTGGCACCCAGGGGTCATGAATGGTGGCAGAGAGTTCTGTTAGAGGCCAAAACGGAGTATGACAAGTGGTGCAAGGCCAAACCTCTTGACAGGTCACGACTCGTAGGTCGTCCCAGCTCAGTGCTTCAGGGCGAGAGATTCGTCCGAATAGAGGCAAGGGGAGTGGCGATGCTGACCAAGGCGCTCCCAGCTGCATTGTATGAGCAGGCGTTGAGCGTTCGCTGTGTATCGTGCACGTGTATGCTGTTCCTCACCATGCGGATGTATCAACCGGGGGGTTTGACTGAGAGGTCAGAGCTGTTGAGGGGTCTGACAGGATTGACTTCTTGTGACACAGCAACGACGGCAGTGGCGACGCTTCAGAAGTGGTTTCGGCACTTGGAGCGGGCTAGAACTATGGAAATCAGTGTGCCTGATAGTTCGCTACTGTTGGATAGCGTGGATAAGTGTATGAGAGGTTTGCTCCAGGCGAATCCCAACTTGCAGTTTAGGGTTCAGAACATAAGAATGCATCTTCAGCTTGACACTGCCCCCACTTTGGACACTGTTGAGGAGTATACTCGTACTTTGCTTGCTGAGATGGAACTCCTGTCAGTTTCAGCGCCGGACCCCAGTAGTAAGAGACAGAGGGTTGCGGCGGTAGGTGCAGATCAGGATAAAGGATCTAAGGGCCCAAAGGGAGGCAAGGGCAGCGATGGGGCTCAGCAGCCCGGAACGGGCAATGGGAGAGGAGCCAAGGGTGATCGAAAGTTGTGTTCAGCGTGGAGCACAGAAGCCGGATGTCCTCAGGGCAAGCTTTGTCAGTTTGCACATGCGCCAGAAAAGCCAGGTGCCTGTTGGGTGTGTGGTGGAGCACATCAGAAGTTTGAGTGCAAGGCTCCAGGTGGAGGTAAGGCTCCTAAGACAGAAGGAAACCCAGGAACGGGAGGTGAAGAAGCTGGAACCAAGCCGAAAAAAGGGAAGCCCAAGGGTAGCGAAGGAAAGGGAAATCCCAAGCCAGCGGCTGCACCAAACAAAGGCACATCGGGCTCCGCAAGTCAGGGCTCGGGGATTTCAGAGGCGGCAATCCGGGAAGCTGCTCAGATTCTTCAGAGCCTCAGGTTGTCGGCGATTAGGTGTGATCTCAAGAGCGCGTCCGAGGTTCTCAGTAGGGCGAACGAGCACGGTCGTCGCGGACTCATAGACGGGGGCGCGACGGCGTG